CTCAACTGGCTCAGCCATGTTAATATTGTTATTATTATCCACTCTGTATCTGTATTTTTATGGCTAAATAAACTGTTTCAATTCAATTCAATTCAATCTGTCTCACTTTATAAAGCTAGTTTTCCGGCATCTTTGTGGTGTAGATTAATATAACCTTTTCCTTTTATATTTTTAATTTCTCTTCTTATTTTTTCGCCCCCTAAGCCCCGTTGTGGGTCGTTGACCTATGCCCAGGTGGGCTATTCCCATAAAAAAATAAAATAAATAAATAAATCCCAGATGGAGCAGCTATCACCACTCTCCAATTAAGTCACTTACAGGTTTTTTTTAGCTTAATTTGATTTACATACATTCTTACACATAAATTATTTGGATTATCTATTTTAAAGGGATTGCCTAGAAGAATTTGGAGGATATAAGCAGTGATGAGGCAAGTGGAGCACAGGTAGCCATAAGCAACAGCTTTCCTTCGGATTTTTTCTGAATATTTACGTAATTGTCAGATTTTCATTCGGACACTCTCCTTAAGCTCTGAGTGGATCTTGCACAACGTCCATCGGGATACCAAGGCATTGTATACATGGCAGCTGTTCTTGCATTTAACCCTTAGTGCCATTAATGCTGACTGTTCACTTCACCACATATTTGGCTTTCATTACTGATGGATACTTACGGCTATACCACATTAATAAGGTCTACAGGTATTTGCAAGTTTACTCAGTCATAAAAAATATTTGTACCATAAATGTGGACAATAAAAATCTTCTATTTTGGTACAAATTACTTGAAAAGTTGTAAGAAGACAAAAGCTGCGTCTCTTCCATTCCACGACAAATAGAAACACTCAAGCCTCTTATCGTAAAAAAAAATTGAACTCAAAAGACAAACTGTAATATTGCATTTTATTATGTTGAAGTACAAAACATTTTCTCCATTATTCCAACGATCTTCAAGAGTGAAGTGCTTCCTCATCTGGAGTACTGTCACCCCGTCTGGTCCCCGAGATATGCTAGGGGCTGTCAGTTGGTTGAAAATGTTCAAAGGAGGGCCACCAGACTGGTGCCTGCACTTCGGCACCTCAGCTACCCTGAGAGATTGGAGCGCCTGAACTTGCCTAGCTTATACTACAGACAGGCAAGGGGTGACCTAATTGAGGTGTATAAGCATCTCAAGGGGCACTACATGACAGCAAGCAGTGTGTGGTGATTAATGGCACGAAATCGTCATCTCTACCTGTAACAAGTGGGGTACCACAGGGCAGTGTATTGGGCCCGCTGTTGTTTGTTTGTTTCATAAATGACATGCCTGACGTTGTACACTCCTCCATACAAATGTTTGCCGATGACGCCAAGTTATTTCGGGAAATTAAGAACCAAGAGGACTGTGAAGAGCTGCAGAAGGACCTCTGTGGGCTCCAGGAATGGTCGAAGAAATGGCTGCTGAGATTCAATGTCACGAAGTGTAAGAGGATGCAACTGGGGTGTACCAATGGTAAGGAGGCGTATCGTATGTCCCAACGGGATGAAGAAACTGCACTAGTTGAGACTGTGTGTGAGAAGGACCTAGGTGAGTATGTTGACAATGAGCTGAAGTTCTCGGTTGTGAGAAGAAGGTAAATCAGGCAAATAAATTATTGGGTCTTATAAGAAGGTCGTTCAGATGTCTAGACGGTCCGTCCCTCGTAACGATCTTCAGGAGTGAAGTGCTTCCCCATCTGGAGTACTGTCACCCCATGTGGTCCCTGAGATATGCTAGGGACTGCCAGTTGGTTGAAAATGTTCAAAGGAGGGCCACCAGACTGGTGCCTGCACTTCGGCACCTCAGCTACCCTGAGAGAATGGAGCGCCTGAACTTGCCTAGCTTATACTACAGACGGGCAATGGGGGACCTAGTTGAAGTGTATAAGCATCTCAGGGGGCACTACTCAGTTGAGTGTCCTTACTTGGAGCTGGCGGACGCTCGCCCCACAAGGGGTCACAGCTCAAGATTGAAGAAGCCGCAAGTCCAGAAAACCGTGAGGGCAAACTTTTTCGGAGTGAGGGTTGTAAACTCTTGGAACAATCTACCAGACAATGTTGTGGCGGCACCGAGTGTGAGCTCTTTCAAGACAAGACTTAGACCAACACTGGAGCGGGTTCAGGTACATTCAGGAGCCGGTGCATGCCCAGTATTTGCCAACAGTGCGTGACAGAGACGTGACCGATCGCCCGGGCGGCTAGCGAGCCGATCTTTTGGAGAAGAAGATAAATGAAGAGACGTGACCGATCGCCCAAGCGGCTAACAAGCCGATCAGTGGCGAAGAGGATAATAGTAAAAAGTAAAAAAAATAAAACACTTGGTGTACAGTGTGTTTGGTATAAAACACTTTGTGTACAGTGTGTTTGATATAAAACACTTTGTGTACAGTGTGTTTGGTATAAAACACTTTGTGTACAGTGTGTTTGGTATAAAACACTTTGTGTACAGTGTGTTTGTTATAAAACACTTGGTGTACAGTGTGTTTGTTATAAAACACTTGGTGTACAGTGTGTTTGATATAAAACACTTTGTGTACAGTGTGTTTGGTATAAAACACTTTGTGTACAGTGTGTTTGTTATAAAACACTTGGTGTACAGTGTGTTTGTTATAAAACATTTGGTGTACAGTGTGTTTATAAAACACTTGGTGTACAGTGTGTTTGTTATAAAACACTTGGTGTACAGTGTGTTTGTTATAAAATAGAGCCTCCTCTCTCACTTCTCTTTAGGTAACAGTTGGTTGACTTTAGGGTGGGGGGTCATCCAAACGGTTGGGGAAAAGTAATTGTACGTAGTTTAAAGTGACAGTTATATTGGACCCTTGTGGAAGAGTATTGTAGCAGAACACATCTTGTACAGCAGTTAAAAGTGATTGAATTATAGTAAATAAAGTCCATAATTGCTAATAATTTCTGCCACCCCTTATTATAGTGGAGAAACATGCTCTACATGTAAGCCATTGTAGAGACAGGTCAGTAAAGTGTCTAAAATTAATTAACTTTTTACAGGTACGACTATTTCCCCAATCAAAGAGGAGTTGTGTCAGGCTTTGGACGTGCCCCTACAGCTCCCAGGGCAGGTGGAGGAGGTGGTGGTGGTGGTGGCATCTTCCGTGGACAGGGACACACACTTGGTTGAAAGCCTTGTGGTTTCCTTTTATGTTTTAATTCATATCATCAGCTGTATTTTGTGTGGTTTAATCATATGGGGGATCCACATTCATGACAAGAATGTAGTGTTGCACTTATACTTGACAAAGTCTGTAACATGGACCATTTACTGTGTTTGAGTGATCACAAAGTGCTGTACAGAGATTGGAGGTCACTAAACACAAGTACAGTACAGTATGGTTATCTTGGTAACATATTGAATAAATCTTGGAGTGCAACTTTTCTTGAAAGAATGATTATTATATCCAGCTGGTGGGTGATAACGTCTCACTTTTTGTTAACAATTTTGTATTTTCTCTGCCAGAGTTGAAGTCCTTTAAGACTTGATATTTTTTGTTTGTTGACAAAAATGCCATTTAATTTACTTCTGTTGGTGTGTACCTTTTAATGGGTCAGAAATTAATGTTTTATAAAAGAGGATTTTTGTATTATATATGATGTGTTTGTTTTTATGCCGACATCATATATTTGTTATTGCAACTTGTATTATTGTCAAGTGTTTAATGCCATTTATATGTATGTGAAGTATATAATTGTGGGTCATAAAAACAAATACAGTCAACCCTCACTTTACGCGGTCCCACATTCCGCGTTTCCACGTTTACGCGGTGCCCTGCCAGAACCTAGGATGCTCACATTCCGCGGTGGGTGTACCCCTTTACACGGTGAAGTATAATTTTTTTATTTAGCTCATAAAATTCATACAAATTATCCGGCCAGAATATAATTTACATTGCTGGAATTCTTACAATTTGATGATCATTTTGAATATAAACATCATAGATTTTGCATTAGACATACAAATTTTAGATATAATGTTTACTCTTGAGTAAATATGTTATCTTTTGTGCAAAATATATGATATTTATATTCAAAATATTCCTGGTCTTACAAGGAATCCAGCAATGTCAATTATATTATCCTAACTTTAGTCTGATTTATTATTTATTACTAAAAAGGTAAACAGTCTGGTATTCCCACACATTTATCTAGTAGGGACGTTGGTGGGGGGGAGGGACCGGCGACCGACCATCTGTTACCGTGTGAAGAATATTTTTTTTATTATTAACTGAAGATTTTTATTTTAGCTCATAAAATTCATATAAATTACCCGGCCAGAATATAATTTACACTGCTGGAATTCTTACAATTTGGTGATCATTTTGAATATAAACATCATATATTTTGCATTAGACATACAAATTTTAGATAAAATATTTAATCTGAGTAAATATGTTATCTTTTGTGAAAAATATATGACATTTATATTCAAAATATTCCTGGTCTTACAAGGAATCCAGCAATGTCAATTATATTATCCTAACTTTAGTTTGAGGTATTATTTATTACTATACCTGGTTTTCCCCCAAAAATTTCTCAGAGGGAAGAGCCAGCAGTGTAGTGTGAGAAGAGGGGGAGGGAGTCGTGTCCATTATTTGAATGGACATTAACTTGGCGACTGTATTTATCTATTTATCTTAAGTATTAATTGTGTGCATGTACCATCATAAAATTAAGATGTTATTTTTACTAGAACATAGGTATTGTGTTGGAAAAAGTGGAGTTTGGGGGTCAGCCGGTCTCTATTTCATTTAATCCCATATGTTATGTTATTCACTTTAAGCGTTTCTCACTTTCCGCAGTACCCTGTGGGTTACATTAACCGCGTAAAGTGAGGGTTGACTGTAATTTTTTATTTCTAAAGTATATTAAGGAAATTCCCTTTCCAATGTCTGAAGAACACCAGTATAAAGTAATGCAGTTAAGATAGTAAATTAATCTATTTTCACCAAAAAAAATAAAAAGGAAAAAGATTTTGCATAATTCCTTTTATTTGATGATTTATAATACCAAAGTTAGATCGTCTCACTTTGACATTTACAAAACAGAAAACAAAAAAGATTCATCATAAAGACGTTAAGTGTCTGATGGTAAATTCAAACTACTATTCATAAAGTAACACCACAAGTGGAAGCTGTGATAATATTTTTAAATAAATATCATACAAGTTGCTAAAACAACACAAGGGTAAACAATCATACCTTCTTGTTGGAATGCAAAGACTAACTGCAGTAAATATCCCTTTCAAGTTCATATCCATCTACACAACACAATCTTACACAAGCATAATGTTTGTAATAATCGCAGTAGATATCAGGTAATTAGAAAATAAAGTAAATGAAAAATAAAATAAATTTTACTATCTACAATAAATAGTAACTCTCAAGGATCTCACACTACTCAAATGTAAGGCAGCCATACCAGAATCAGACTACCGGTATGTAAGTTCACTCCATAACCAAATAAAAAATATTTCAGAAGAAAACTTGCTGGGACTTGCTTCACTCTGCTCTCCAGGGTTTATTTCAGAAGAAAGCTGAAACAGAAAATAAATAATTGATTACAATACATTGCATGATATATATGATGGTGTAGCGATAGTGGGGACTGAAATTTCTGGCCACACCAATGTTATGGCTCCTTCCTCAAATATACTCAAGTTACCACCATCACTACACCACCATATACATCACACAGTACTCCACATCAACATATGATTACTGGCTGAACACATTTTTAATGAGGGATTAATTCTCAAACAAAATTATTCCTGGTGGTAAGAACTAATTATGACAAAAAAAAATAAAAAATTGCGGAAAAAGTGGTATAAGTAAACATAAAAATAAAACCGGTTTGTTTCTCCAGGTACATTACAGCAGTCCAGTTCCCTATAGCATCAAAGGCACAACTTAAGACAATAATGATGGACAATATTAACCCTTTTACAGCATATATTACAAAAATGCTACTGAAAACAAATTGCTGTTAACTGCATAAATCACATTTAGGCCACAACCTTCAAAACATTTCCCGAACACCAAGTCGACACATTGGTCGAGCAAATTTGGCTAACTTATATCCCTCTTTGATTCAATCTCTGAATGACAGCAATAATCACTTAAGCATTGAGTGCAACTTGACAACTAACACTGACAAACACTGAAAAAAAAAACACACACACACGGGAATTAAGACAACAAGCATCCAGTGAGGGTCTTGTTGTGTGACTGCATGGAGGCGAATTAAAAGATCAGCTGTTGAGGAGCTTATCGCTTGGCAACACTGGTGCATGTTACCACTCCTTTCCACTCCATCTCTCTAATCAGCCACACCTTTCTGCTTTCTCACTCCATATATTAAAATGTTATGTAATGTAATGTTGAAGGGAAACAACTTTGCTTATTTATACTTTTACATATCACAATCTCCCTTAGGTTTCGTGTATATTCAAGACATCGTCAGGTCATGAGACCACTAATCCCCCATCCTACCTCCACCTGACATTGAGTCATGTCAGGTCAGGTCCCCACCAATGATACTTTAACTTTCATCTTTATTCAAGACATTTTCAGAAAATTCTCTCGAATTTCAAACTCGGAAAATTTGCTCCCAAAGCCGGATGTTTATGGAAAATTCTCGCTTTGGGAAAGATTTTCTGAGCAGATTCTAATTCTGGCTATCGGAGATTTCCGGGTTTGAGGGATTCCGGCTAACGGAGATACCCTGTATTACTGTACGTATATAGTACTGTACAGCCTTTTTATATGCAAATTATGTTAATATTTTGTATGAGGTATTGCAAGCCACTACTTTATGCAAAGGTATGGCAATGACTGAAGAGTAATGTACTGTATATGTATAAGCACTTACATGGTCCTGTCTTTCTGTCAAGACTTATGCCAAAGTTACTCACCTATATGGGTATCCGTGGGCTTTTGAACGGAATATGGACAAAGAGAGTGAGAAGAAGAAGGCCACCAGACCCAGCCCAATGATGGCATAGATACGGCGTTTCCTCACGTCGTCGCGTTTGTTGGCAGCTTCAGTCATCAGGATCATACCCAAAACAACAGCTGCATCTGCAAAGAACATTCAGTGAAGAATTTACTACACGGCTCACTTACCTAATTACACAGTGTAATAGCTGTCATCAAACAAATTTTGAAGCAAGTTTTAAAGGCTACATAACCTACCAATCTAAGATACAAAATGAAATATACCTGTATAAGGGGCCCCCCCAAGTTCACAGGTTTTTATTTTGCGGTCCTCTATTATTCACAAATAATACGCTGAATGTACCCAAGAATGTCTGTGGGTAGTTTTAAAGTTGCTGACATTTTTGTGGCCGAGACAGGGAGCCATTTGTTCTAGAGACAGTAATTTCCTTTACCTGTATTGTATGTATTGTATGTATGTATGTATGTGTGTGTGTGTGTATGTGTGTGTGTGTAGACACAAATATATATACAATACTATACTTTACTGTATTATTAACAAAGCACGGAGTGGACTTGAGGGTAGACTCAACATTTTTAATATATTTATTTCAGATTACAGTACAGTAGTACCCCGATTTACGCGGTCAATTGAACCCACAGGGTACCGCGGAAAGTGAAAACCACGTAAAGTGAACAACAGAACATATGGGATTAATTCCAACAGAGACTGGCCCGACCCCCAAACTCCACTTTTTCCGACACAATACTTATGTTGTAGTAAAAATAACATCTAAATTTTATGATGGTATGCTCACACAATTAATATTTAAGAGAAATACAGTCGCCAGGTTAATGTCCATTCAAATAATGGACTCAAATCCCCCCCCCTCACTCTTCCCAGCTCACTGGCCCCTACCTCTCTGAGAAATGTTAACGTTTAGTAATAAATAATACCTCAGACTAAAGTTAGGATAATATAATTGACATTTCTGGATTCCTTGCAGGTCACGGAATATTTTGAATGTAAACTTCATATATTTTGCACAAAAGATAAAATTTTTGCTTTGTGTAAACCATATTATTACATTAGATCTAAAATTTGTATGTCTAATGCAAAATCCATGATGTTTATATTCAAAATTATCATCATATTGTAAGAATTCCAGCAATGTTAATTATTTTCTGGTCGAGTAATTTGTATGAATTTTATGAGCTAAAACAAATATCTTCAGTTAATAAAAAAAAAATATTCTTCACGACACTATCTGTCAATCAAAGTACCCCACCTTGCCTCCCCCCCTCCTCACACTCACGCCAGCTGGGTCGGTCGGTCGGTCCCAACCCTCCCCCCCACCCCCCACCTTCCCTCCCTACCAGAGAAATTTTGGGAAAAATACTAGATTTTAACTTTTAGTAATAAATAATACCTCAGACTAAAGTTAGGATAATATAATTGACATTCCTGGATTCCTTGTAGGTCAGGGAATATCTTGAATGTAAACTTCATATACGTATTCTGCACAAAGGATAAAATATTTCCTTTGTGTAAACCAAATTATTACAGTAGATCTAAAATTTGTATGTCTAATGCAAAATCCATGATGTTTATATTCAAAATGATCATCATATTGTAAGAATTCCAGCAATGTAAATTATATTTTGGCCGGGTAATTTGTATGAATTTTATGAGCTAAATAAAAAATAAAAAATTATACTTCACCGCGTATATGAGTAGATGCACCGCGGAAGGTGAAAGTCCGGTTCTGGCAAGGTACCGCGTAAATGAGAAATCGCGGAAAGTGAAACCGTGTAAAGCGGGATAATACTGTATTTGTGAGTGTTTTCCCATTATTATTTATTTGTATGTGCACCCGAGCTCCTCAGTGTTTACTCAACATTCATACTTCCCAAGCTCACCTATGCCTCCCCTACCTGGCCTTCCTCCCTAAATGCCACACAACGTAAACACCTAGAAAAAGTGCAAAAGAGAGCATGCAAGATTATTCTCTCCCCTTCCTACTCCACATATCAAGAAGCGCAAAACACACTGACCCTCTCGGCTCTCACTGACCATCACCACGACCTCATCTGCAAATTTGGTGAGAAGCTTCTGCACCATCCTAGACACCGGAACCTACCACCACCTGAGATCCCTCGCCCGAGAATTGCTGTTTGACACCACAACCGCATCCAGCCCATATGAGTACTAACTGATTGCTATAAGAACAGCCCAACCATTGTAAAAATTATCAATAGCTTGTAACCAACCAGTGTATTCACTCCCAGTCAATCTTACTTTTTGCACTGTCACTATGTTGAAATGCCCTGTAGTTTGAGCTTCTCCCCACCTAGTTATTGTATCACTAATGTTACTTGTATATTATTTGTAAATCAAGAGGCTCATTCCCCAATTAAGTAACTGTATATTTTCAGCCTTCCGGCTGCCATGCTCTTTCAATAAACATTAATTATCATTATTATTACACATACTCTGTATATACACTACAGGTAAAATAAATGATTGTCCTAAAGGCAAACACAAAGTGAATACACATTTCTTTGTACACAAGTACAAATGTACCGCCCTCCCCGGTCCGCAAATGTTAATCGCGGATTTGGCGATTCGAGGCCATTTTGAGAACCTAACTCCCGTAAATTTGGGGACCCCCTGTACAATACAGACAGTAAATCCTTGCTTAACATGAGATACATTCCTCAAAAGTCATATCCCTTACAAATTCGAGCTAAACGAATCCCCAAAAGCCATTGACAACCATGCCAAAGATGAGAGATGAGTATTTGAAGGAATGAGAGAGAAGAGGGCAGAGGACTGCAAAAAAAAAAAAAAAAAAATTACATTCAGTAAGACACTACAATACTTCTCAGTTCATTACCAATTCTATTATCTTAAAACTGAACAACTGCTTCCTAGACTGTAGTTGTTCAAACACAAAGTGACTCCTAGTGCAAGAAAATACAGTCACCCACACATGTAACTCCTGCTCCACAGTCTAGGCTTTCATTATCTGATTATTTTCTTTCATTATCAAACTTAAAAACAATCTGAAAGCAACTCTGTACAAATATTTAATGCTTCTCTAAGAAATTAAAAATTACAGACATATTTTTTTGTTCATTCACTAATGGTAAATAGGATACAATGAGCATGGCTACAACTTACTGAGCATGGCTACAATATAAGTTTCAACAATAAACTGTCCCTGTGATGATCCATGGATGTAAGCAATATTCCCAGCTTGAGTCTTCTGCAGGAATGGTGGTCCTCGGATATGGTTCCACATTTGGCCTGAGGTCATAGCGAAGGTAAAGGCCTGTTGAAAGATAAAATTTACTTAAGGACTTCTATTTTATCACTTTTAAATATGTACAGTCTAAGAACATAAGGTACAGATCTCGTTCGAGATTCTTCAAACACTGCTGGAGACAGCTGGCAACTCAAGGCCGTTTGTTTACTATAGTACGTAGTAAAATATAATACGAAGCAAAGCCCAACCATTAATTAAGTAACGGGGAACTAAGTGACCAATCACCGATCACTTTTACATTCATTCATAATTTTTACTACGTACTATAGTAAACAAACTGCCTTGAGTTGCCAGCTGTCTCCAGCAGTGTTTGAAGAATCTTGAATGAGACTGTACCTGCTGTTGACAGAGATAAGTAATACAGGGTTGTTTTTTTTGAGAAGCCTAAATGAACCTAAAAATTAGTAGGAATAAAGTCTGATCATTGTGAGGAACATTTAAAACAATATAAAAGTACATGTGTGTGTATATGTAGTGTGTATGTTAGTGTAGTGTATGTGTACATGTAGTATGTATAGTGTATGTGTACAATGAAAGACAAAAGTCGTGTCGTGAAATTTGGTGAAAACATATGCCAAAGGGCTAAACTTTTGGTGCGCTCTGCCTTGTGGTGGGGCTCTCATAATGTTTCACGAGTTATATTTAATCCTCGGATAAAACCGCAACACGACTTTTGTCTTTGATTGTACACATGAGGAGCTCAGGACCATAACCTGCTTAGAGCCATATATCACAGAAACATGTTATGTATTGTATTGTATTCCCCAACCTCTCCTCTATCCCCTGGGTAAGTCAGAGAGTTAATTGGGAATATGTACACTCTCAACACAAACTTATCCAACACCTGGGCACGATGGATGTGAGAATGAGCCCAATGGGGGCTTGTCATTTAGGAATGGTTTCCGATTCTTCGTTCATTTTTCAGATAACATTGTGCTTATAGCATCCAAGAAGTTTTTGGCGAGTATGTACACGTGGGTAAAAGTCCTCTGAAAAGACTCTTGTAGGTCACACATTCCTACCTGAGCATTTTCCTCCATTTTCGATTTTGGCAGTTAGCAGATTATGCTCTAGAGCTCCTCATATATCAAATAACAAAAATATGCTGAAAAAACTAAGTACTGTATATATAACTAGCAAATATTCCAACTCTCACAACATCCTGCAGCGACGCAACACAACATAATAAACACCTAAACTTCCAACACCATAGAGGTGTGTGCCTCTGAAGGTGGCCTACAAGACTGCATAAAAAAGATGACAGCTAAGAAAATAGTCCATATCCACCACCCAGATTCGACACATTGTATTACCAACACTGATTAAGATTTTCAAGGTGATACTGACCAGTGCACCAAGAGCCCAGGTAGTCTTATTGTAGAGGAAGTCGAGGTTATTCTTGCGCAGGTAGAGGAGGCCGACCACCAATGCCAACAGAACCACCAGAGCCAGCAGCCCAGAGTAATTGGGGGGACGGAACACTCGGATCTGGAAAACACTGGACAGTTGCAGAGGACACAGAGGAACCTACTGGAAACAAATATCTGATGATTTTGTTGGCTATCCTTGGTCAAACTGCCTAGCTGTTTAGTCTTGTTAGTATACCTGTACTATCTAGGTACAGTTGCAGAAATGTATTACTACACCCTTGTGGTAACCAGTGTCACCAAACGGTCAACCTATATGACCTAAAACAAACCTTTCCACCAATCATGTCCATTGTTACACCACCAATACCCAATCATTCATAAACAGTGATTCTACTACTGCAACACTGCCGTTTGGAGACTATGGCTACCACAAGGGGGTGTAGGAACACATTTCTGTAACTGTACATTGTTTATATACCTGCACTTTCTGTATCAATTGTAAACTTCTATAATTGATTTCACTGAATACATAAAAACTATTTATGTATCCACAGCAGCTGATGGTATAAAAATAACAAAACATTACAGGAAGAGATACAGCTGTAATTATCATTACTGAACCTGTTTATAAGTCCACAAATTACTTTAATAATATTTCGATGGTCGTATCAAAATCTTCATTAGTGTCTGTTGACTCTTGATTTCAAAACATTATATATTACAGTGACCCCTCGTTTAACGAATGCCTCAGTTAACGAAATTTCGGTTAACGAACTGCCTTCCATAAGGATCTTCATTTCGGTTAACGAACAAAAATTCGGTTAACGAATTTCTTACGAACCGACCTCAACATGTTTTCGCTTGCACTGACCGGGCTACCAGCTTTAGTATCAGTACGCCATTACATTAATCGGTTCTAGGGCTTAAATTCCTTACTATTTTAGTAAATATCAAGAAGTTTATACTATTCAATAATTTTAAAAGTTTAATATTAACTTTTTTAGTCATTTTAACAATTATTGAATATAATTGAAGGTAAAGAAACTAGTTTCTGGCGTGCCATCCAGCCTGTTAACACACCAGACGGGCGTTAGTCTCTCTCTGTTTTCAGTGAAGGTAACATCTTGCTTGACACTCTCTTCAACTAAACGCTTTTTTTCTGTGTTTCCAAGCAAATTATTGGTCAATTTGAAATATATTTTACATATTGACAATATATAATGCAGTGCAGTGTTGATTTAAAGAAAATAATCTTGAAATACACCAAGAGAACTAAAATTTTATGGATGAAATGGTGCCATGGGGTGACTTCTCTTCCACCCCAATGCCTTTTCTTCTTCCTTCTCCTCCACCCCCATTCTAATTCCCATCATCATCATCATCATCATCCAGGAGCCTTCTACATACACACCTCAAAGTAAGTGAACTTTTCTACCATTTTTGTTGAATTTAGGAAATTTTCGGTGAGCTGGAACCAATTACCCAAAAACCCATTGAAACAATGGTTTCGGTTAACGAACGACCTTCTGGAACGGATTGAGTTCGTTAACCGAGGGGTCACTGTAGTAACTTTTCACAAATTCCTTTTAAGTTTTTAAGCTATGACATTAAAACATAATTCAGAAACTACTGCAAGAAAATAAAAATACTCATTATCACTACTGTAATGTACTCTACTTCTCAAATGTGAAAATATTTTACAACTTTAATGAAAATGTTCTGGTGTTACAGTACATGATTGTATCAAGTGTAAGTTAGGTGAGCCAGACCAAGGTGGTGCTACAGACTTAACCTTTATATGAAATACTGCACAGTACATGAATAAAGTGTGACTGGCACTGCAAATAACCATCTTCACTGCCCCAACTGTAGAGTTAGTTGACCCTTTTACAGCAGGGTGATTAAGGGGTACCCTGGGCACAAACCAGCAACCCTTGGGGCAAGAGGCATGTGCTGTATCCACTCACCCACCACTGAACAACAACCAAGATAACGATACCCTACTGTACAAAACATACCCAGTGATGATGAACAGTGAACAAAGACAGGTCACAATGTGTTGGTAACAAGTCAGTCACACACCTGGATGTCCGTCCTCTCAGCGACCCACCGAGCTATACTTTCGGCAGCAAATCCAACTCGCTGAATGTCGAGAGTATCGACCTTCTTGGGTTTTCCTTTAGCCGGGAAATGCATGAACACAGGAGCAGAGTTGAGGCGCAGCTGTAACATATATAGAATGTCAGTAATCTTAACACAAGAGCAGAATTGACGCGCAGCTGTAACATACATAGAATGTCAGTAATCTTAACACAGGAGCAGAGTTGAGGTGCAGCTGTAACATACACAGAATGTCAGTAATCTTAACACAGGAGCAAAGTTGAGGTGCAGCTGTAACATACATAGAATGTCAGTAATCTTAACACAGGAGCAGAGTTGAGGTGCAGCTGTAACATACATAGAATGTCAGTAATCTTAACACAAGAGCAGAATTGACGCGCAGCTGTAACATACATAGAATGTCAGTAATCTTAACACAGGAGCAGAGTTGAGGTGCAGCTGTAACATACATAGAATGTCAGTAATCTTAACACAGGAGCAAAGTTGAGGTGCAGCTGTAACATACATAGAATGTCAGTAATCTTAACACAGGAGCAGAGTTGAGGTGCAGCTGTAACATACATAGAATGTCAGTAATCTTAACACAGGAGCAAAGTTGAGGTGCAGCTGTAACATACATAGAATGTCAGTAATCTTAACACAGGAGCAGAGTTGAGGTGCAGCTGTAACATACATAGAATGTCAGTAATCTTAACACAGGAGCAAAGTTGAGGTGCAGCTGTAACATACATAGAATGTCAGTAATCTTAACACAGAGCAAAGTTGAGGTGCAGCTGTAACATACATAGAATGTCAGTAATCTTAACACAGGAGCAGAGTTGAGGTGCAGCTGTAACATACATAGAATGTCAGTAATCTTAACACAGGAGCAAAGTTGAGGTGCAGCTGTAACATACATAGAATGTCAGTAATCTTAACACAGGAGCAGAGTTGAGGTGCAGCTGTAACATACATAGAATGTCAGTAATCTTAACACAGGAGCAAAGTTGAGGTGCAGCTGTAACATACATAGAATGTCAGTAATCTTAACACAGGAGCAGAGTTGAGGTGCAGCTGTAACATACATAGAATGTCAGTAATCTTAACACAGGAGCAAAGTTGAGGTGCAGCTGTAACATACATAGAATGTCAGTAATCTTAACACAGGAGCAAAGTTTGTTGATAGATTTGGATAAAATTTAGAAGATACAATAGAATGTCGATTTAAAGCGATTCAATTTAAAATTATTGATTTAAAGCGACACCCACAACTAAGGACAATGTTTTAATTTACAGCAAATCTTTCCTATGTTGTGCGAGTCAATCTGGCGCATCATCGTGTAAAATTCGCGTCTAATGTTTCTCTGGGTATGCTACACTGTCCTACGGGAAAAGCTGTATTGTACATGTACTCAAAATAATGTACTAAATGATTACTAAAATGTTTCTCTAGTGCAAACTATAGCATGATTTTATTAAAATTAATCACTATTTTACAAGAATTCTAGCAATGTAAATTATATTCTCCTCGGTCACTTCTGTGACATTCTATAAACAAAAAACAAAAACAAAATCAATATAAAGGACATAAATAAACAAATAAATACGTCACTAGACCTTTGGCACCAACTGTCAAAACATGTCACTGTCACCCCCCCATCTTCCCAGCTAGGGTTTGGTGGTTATAGACTTACAGTTTTTATCTTATATAATATCAAACTAAAGTTAGGAGAATATAATTTGCATTGCTAGAATCCTTGCAAGACCACGAATAATTTGAATATAAACGTCATATATTTTGCAAAAGAGATAAAAATTTTAGCCCTTTAATAAAGTTAATTAGAACATGTCAGTTCAGTGACATTTTATAAGAGAAAACTTAAAGTCACTCTTAAGGACAGATAAATAAATAAGCACTAAACCTTGGCATCAACTGTCAAACATATCAACAGCCCCCCCAATCTTCCCATCAGCTGATCACTAGTAAACAGACCATTTCACATACCATAATTTTAGCTGTGTTGATTTACGAGTGCTTGTTTTAACAAAATGCTACAAAAAACAATGTTTTGTTTATTCTAGGAGATGGGCTGAGGTGCATCTGGGTTGACTTTCAGTCTTTTTGTATTTTGTGTTTCTCTGAAGTACCAAACTAAATTATTCCATTGAAACAACACTTTGATTTACAGTGGTCCCTCGGTTAACGAACAACTCGGTTAACGAAATTTCGGTTAACGAACTGCCTCCCATAAGATTCTTAAATTCGGTTAACGAACAAAAAATGGTTAGGGAATTTCTTACGAACCGACCTCAACATGTTTTCGCTTGCACTGGCCGGTCAACCAGCTTTAGTATTAGTCCGCCAATACATTAATCGATTCTAGGGCTTAAATTCCTTACTATTTTAGTAAATATCAAGAAGTTTATACTATTCAATAATTTTAAAAGTTTAATATTCAATTTTTTAGTCATTTTAACAATTATTGAACATAATTGAAGGTAAAGTGACTAGTTTAATGCGCGGCATCCAGCCTCTTAACACAGCAAACAGGCATTAGTCTCTCTCTGTTTTCAGTGGAGGTAACATCTTGCTTGAGACTCTCTTCAACTAAATGCTTTTTTCTGTGTTTGCAAGCAAATTATTGGTCATTTTGAAATATATTTTACATATTGACAATATATAATGCAGTGCAGTGTTGATTTAAAGAAAATAATCTTGAAATACACCAAGAGAACTAAAATTTTATGGGTGAAATGGTGCCATGGGGTGACTTCTCTTCCACCCCAATGCCTCCTCTTCTTCCTTCTCCTCCACCCCCATTCTAATTCCCATCATCATCATCCAGGAGCCTTCTACATACACACCTCAAAGTAAGTGAACTTTTCTACCATTTTTGTTGAATTTAGGCAATTTTCGGTGAGCTGGAACCAATTACCCAAAAACCCATTGAAACAATGGTTTCGGTTAACGAATTTTTCGGTTAACGAACGACCTGCTGGAACGGATTGTGTTCGTTAACCAAGGGACCACTGTGGTGCAAATTCGGTTTAAAGTGACCTCTCTTGGAATGTATCTCGTGTTATATCGACGTTCTACTGTATCTATACACCGTACACTATTATAAGACTAACTGAATAGAGGAATTGCATTGGGATGATGTTCCAGGGTTGCGATCATACCATTTAAACCTCTATATACTGTACTGTACAGTATTATCATTAACATTAAAAAATAATAGGTGGCCACGTAAGAGCTCTTAAAACTTCAATCTGGCTTCTGACCTCAAAAGAAACTGCACCACTGGTTGTGATGCAGTGCAAGACTGTGAAGCCCAGCAAAGGCACATGGTTTTAATTTTTTTTAGTGATGCACCAACACCAAGTCTATGGTACTGTACTACAATTTGAGATGTCATACTTTCATTAATTTAATTTTTGATGAGGTTATATCTGAAGAAATGATAAATTTTCCATTTAATATTTTTTTCTTTCCCCCGACATTGGATCAAACTGGAAGATACAATATCAATACTAAATACATGAGTGTTCTCAGTGGCTGTAACTTGAGGCAGTGATCACCAGCGATCCTGTGAGCCATAAAGCCCTGTGATGCCAGTTTCAACACATCAACATCTTATAAAAACTGTGAAAATTTTTGTAAATTTTTCTTATGTAAATCACATTCTGGATTTTTTTGTAACTCTGGATTTTCATAAACTGAATATTCGTAAATAAGGGACTGCCTGTAATGTTCTGTACAGTCCCCTTCACTAGTGCATTTACAGGAGCTCGTTATTTTAACATTCCACAGATCATTACATTGAGATATATATATTTTAATATTGTTTTATGATGATTCTATAATATGTTTACTATTACAAGTTTCCTTCTGGCGAATGTAAATAAACACAGAGCTGCCACACTGCACAAAACCAGACAGGACTAATTTTTGGTGTGTGTACAGTACAGTATATTTTTTTAATAGATTGCATACAGTACAGTTATAATCTCACCTGTTGGAAGACATCTGGACCTTCATCAAAGTCTACAAGAGCAAAGAAGAGTTTGTTGGAGTAGCCCTGAGAGTACCGCCAGGAGTTAGCTACCAGCTGGAACTCATCGTGTGCATGCCTGTAGCAATGATAAGTCCCTATTAATTATTAGCCCCGTCTCTTTTCTTAAACATACTTAGCAAAAATACCTACTACTGAAATAACATCATTATGAAATAAAGAGTCAAAAGTATTATTTGCAGATATTTATACACTGTATTAGCAATGTGAAGTTGGTTAGTTTCTTATTCAATGTTAAATGCACTGTACTATTAAAAATATGTACCGAAGATGTACACAAAAACTTATTGACCACAAAGTACAGTATTACATAACTACAAATACAGTATAGTACAGTATTACAAGTACACCACCGATTTTCCAGCACCTTTGGTTCCTGAGCCTTGCCAGATTAACAGAGGTCATATTAAGCAATACACCTCTGACCAACTAGCTATACACCTCCCGGTATCTTTAAAGCACCATGGCTGCTAGAAACTTAAATTAAACTTATATTAAATGTAAATAAAATAATTAAATGAAATACAGGCTGTATAAATGATGCAGGTTTATTAATTATTTAGTACAAAGAATGTTGCAGTACTGCCACTCCCAGAGTGGCAATTTGTAGAGTTTCACAAATATTGAAGACCTAATTACAAAGGTCTGGAAGCTGGGGCTGTCAGGGTTGCTGTCTGTTTCATCTTGGACTTGTGGTGTTAAATATGTCCAAAATATGCTGATAATTACACAAAATCAAGGAGCTACCATCAGCAACTGCAGAGTATACAAACAAAGTGAGCGCAGTTAACACGTAAAGCCATCTGTGGGCAGCCCAGTAAACTAAGCTGGAGGTCGCGGGAATTTTGTCCGGGATAAACGAGGTACCGGACCATCCGTTGCCGGAAAATCGGTGGTGTACCTGTATTACATACTGTAACTACAAATACCATTCTACATCATTATGACTTACCTACAAATACCACATTGTCTAGAAGGAGCCAAGGCTGTGAACATGACAATCATGGAGTAGTTACGAGGCGTCCCTTTTACATACTGGCGGAACTTGTCTCCATTGAAACGCAGGACTGGTTTCTTCAACCCTGCATCTGACAACTGCTGGACGCGTTCTGAGAGTGTGAGCTGCGGGTTTGAGGATGAAATCACACGATATAATACTGAGCTAAGAATAAAAGAGAGTGGCTCACTACTTATGAACAAGGAACATTCCTGATGCTTCTTCAAAAGTCTATTTGTACATATTGTACAAAATTAAGAAATAAAGGATGTACAGTTTGTACTGTAGCCCACTAATAAATACAACACATTACACTGCCTCATGCCCCCCCCCCTCCCCCCACTGCATAAGTCCTAGATCCCCCCCACCCTGATGCAACCCTTGGTTATTATAAAGAGGGAGGGATAAGCAATCGTGTACAAGACGCGTTCAGTTCCTGTCCAGACTTTTCTCTCTGACCGCTCGCGCCTCCCTTGGAATCTTCTGGCGCCCTCCAGTTTAAGAACCAATGATCTACAGTACTGTATATCCTACCAGCATTTAACACTATTTAAATGTAATACACAACTTACAGTATATTAATTTTGTATGCAGCTGTAGTACAGTAATATCACTGTTAGCTGGAATCTCTCAAACCCGGAACTATCCGACAGCCGGAATTTAAATTTTCTCAAAAAATAGTTCCTAAAGCCTGAATTTTCCAAAAAATTCCGGCATTGGGAACGATTTTCCGAGGGGCACAAAAATCCGGAAAATTCCGAAAAAATTAACATCCATCTTCCAACTGCCGGCGAACGTTGATTAGCGCACGAGTATTACGTCACATCAGCACTCATGTTGATTGACCAAATATTGTGCTTTACTTATTTTTTTACTTTTACTTGATAACTACAAATTTCCGACTGAAAAGTTATGGAATAAATTTATTGGTAATATTGCAGTAAACAGCAACCACAGAATTCTGGAAATTCACTACACTCAATTGAAAGAACTATTTTTTCAATGATCATTTTCTTACACAGTAAAAGCCTCACTAAGGCAAACTAATTGGCGGGAAGGGGTGTCAGGGATAAGAGGTTGTCCACCTTGGAGCAAATTAAAAAAATAAATAAATAAAATATGTTAAACAAAAAACAAGTACTGTATAGTACAACACCAATGTATCCAATTTTTATGAAAGAAATACATGCTTAAAAAAAAAAATAATGTACACAAAGTGCAGTAGGGTCGGGATATACAGTATAGCTATTTTTTAAAAGATTTTTTTATATAGACTACCAAAATTATCGACATTTTCCAATACTGTATATATAGCGATAAATTTATATATTTCGTGAGGGAAATCAGCCAGGAAATATTTCAAATGTACCACCATGGCAAACAAATGTGTTATTTGCTTAAAAGAGGCGCCACTGTGGCTGCTCACTCACGCATTCACACTCGCCTGCACAGTTTTTCTGATTCAGTTCTTACCACGTGTGGACACTGTTCTCTTGCTCTCCAGTCAAGGTCACCACGTGCTCTACTACTGTCTACCAAGATGCCTACCGTAAGCATACCAGTACCACTCCTCCTAGTTCAAGTAGTTCATGTAGGTGTGGGATTGTCAAGTGAGGGTGGCAGTGTGGTGTCTGCTGCCAATGATCATTGGTGCTTTAGTTAGTAAGAAAATGAACTCATTAAGTCAAGTTTAATCACTTTTATTGGCCTCCAGAACCAAACCCTATTTTCCCCATTGATTACATGTAATTATATATTGAGATTTAGTGTACAGTATAATGAACATCCTTGGGGCCTATCTCGTGATATGTTCCGACCCTACTGTACTGTACACTTACCCCAAAAACTGGAAGGCAGATCCAGCTGGACATGCCTCTGACTGCAAGAGGCTTGCAGTCACTCTGAGTCTGAGTGCTTTGAAATTCCATATTTAGCACATATTTGTGAGTGAGCAGCACCTTTTTCTAGCTTTTCAATCACCTTTAACTTTTTGTTCACTGATAAGGTTTTAAGCTTAACCTTTTCACCACCCTTACAGACACCAAACACTTTCTTAGGGGCCATGATTATTGTCTAATTTTCTATAATAATGCAAAAATATATACTGTATGTTACATCAGCCTACAGCATAATCACATTATTGGCAATGTCAAATAAGTTTCACAATGAAGTTGAACACGTCTAAATGGCAATAAATTATAATCGACGGAGCGAGAGAGCAGAAGTGATGCTATCACAGGCAACGCTAATTTATGACTGAGCGCGTGATGCATCTCCCTTTGTTTACAAGAGTGTATGGCGTGGGTGGATCACGATGTCTGTCCGTCTTGCTCCCTTGAAATTTTGGCTAATGGTGGCCATGTTATCTTACAAAAAATTATATCCTACTTTTTTATTTATTTATTTATTAAATTTTTTTAATTTTTGCAATTAATTTCGTCCAGCTTAGCGAGGTTTTACTATAATACACTTACATCACAAATTGATAATAAAGAAGTTATTGAATTTCAAAAAGAATAAAATATGAGCACCTGTTGTTCCTACACTGTTCTTCCAACAAGTTGTTCTCCTGTACCCTCCACAATCGGAGTAAGAACAGAGGAACCCACGATGCATTAGGGTCCCTGACTCGGAGTAAGGTAAGAAACTCTATAACGGCTATTATTGTGGAGATTATTACATAGCGTCTGGGGGGGCCACTGGGGGTCCAGGGGTAGAGCGCACGGCTAGGGGGTTTAGTAAGGTTTAGTTTGGTTATATTGTACTGTATAAGTTAGCAAGCACAGAGTATTTCATAACGTTTAGACATTTCTAAGACATTTTTCTTCTTTGATATGTCTGCCGGAAAATAAGAATAACCGAGATATTAATTTATCAATATTATTAGATTTGGTCAGTCACAAGTGTCGCCACTTGTCGTTTACATCTGGCGGAGAAGCTCTGACCTCGCTCACGCAGTGCTCCTTACCTCCGTGTTGGCTTCTTAAGCTTCTAGAGTGCATGTGCGGGGGATGGTGTAGGAGTTTCTTATTGGCTATAGCGACAGGAGATTTATTACTGGGCAATAGTTTTTTGTCTGGTATTATTGCATTTGCGCACACAACATTCCTACCCCTAATCTATTATCATATTCGTATAAGACGTCTAATTATAAGATACAGTGAACCCTCACTTTACGCGGTCAATTGAACCCACGGCGGCCTGCGTAAAGTGAGAAACGCGTAAAGTGAACAATATAACATATGGGATTAATTGAAATAGAGACCGGGCCGACCCCCAAACTCCACTTTTTCAGACACAATACCTACGTTGTAGTAAAAATAACTTCTTAATTTTATGATGGTATGCACACACAATTAATAATTAAGAGAAATATCAATAATATTAGGTTTTTTAACACTTACATTAGTAGAAAAGATGGCTGGGCACACGGGATGGGGGGTTGGTTCCGAGGCAGAGGGCAGATTATTGGCCCTCACCTGTATCAATTGTATCACTATCCACCACAAGAGGCTTGCAGGGCCTCTTTGTCAAACCCCTCAAAGTCCATATAAGTCCATATCCTCACTATCATTATCACTATCACTGACTTGGGCCGGCTGTGGTGAGTGGCGGGTGAAGAACTCAGTAATGTTTTGATGACTGGGCGACCTTGTGCGCACCCAGCTTGCGCCGCTCTCCGCGTAAAAGGGTACACACACCGCGGAAAGTGAGCATTCCGTGTTCGGCAGGGTACCTCGTAAACGCGTAAAGTGGGACCGCGTAAAGCGAGGGTTGACAGTAATTTTCTTTTATTACATTACCGTCACAAACGTATAATAACGGATATAGCATATCTAAAATTTTCTCTTATTTTCTTCCATTAATCTTGCGCCATTATCGCCTACCTCACCTCCCACACTGCATGTCTCCTTCATAAATCATCACGCGCATGCATTCCTGTACACATCACGCAGTCAATCAAAAGCGGTTTTTTTTTGCACCCAATTAAAATGATTTGTGGTTTAATTTGCGGTATTTGGTCCCAATCAAATTTTATTTTTATTTTGGGTCTCTCATATTTTAAAATTCAAATTCATTTCCGACCACTGAAGTCTGCGATGGGAGTCTACTTCAATTATTTGGAGACGATTGAAAGTTTTGGGAAAAAAACAAAGAAACTATAGCATTTTTTAGATCTCGTGGTGTTCTCCAGACCCCAGTAAAGTGTCCTAAGTGCAAGAATGAATGTAAATATCTTCAAGACCAACATATCCAACGACGAATGAGAACCAGGACAATAAGGAAAGAAATAAGTGATTTCGCGAGTCAGTTAGGTTAGGTTAAGTTAGGTCAGGTCAGGTTTACATTTTTCTAGTGTTTTTTTGTGTATTTTGTATTCGCTTAGCCATAATTTGTCGGAAAACGTCCCACCCCCCAAAAAACGGCCAATTTCCGACGGAAATGAAGGTTTTAACCGATCTAAACACACATAAATACACTAGAAAAATATATTTTTGACTTTCTAACAGAGTTGTGTGCACTTATGTAAATTTACCTTTTGTCTTAAGCCATTGAACAATGCGTGGGTGCGTCGGGAGCGGAGATTTGAATTTTCGGTACCAGATATGGCTGAACAGGTGAAAGAGCTGTGCCAAAATTGTGATGAGATTATTTTATGTCAATTACCGAGTTTCATCAGAAAAATAGTGAGGCAATTTCTTTTTTTTGAAAACATGGGGTATCATTGCGTTTACACACCACACATTCTTACCACTAATCTATTATCATATTCTAATAAGACGTCTAATTATAAGATAATTTTCAGCTATTACATTACCAGCGGAAATGTATAATAACGGAGATAGCACATCCAAAATTTTCTCTATTTTCTTCCATTAACCTTGCACCATTATGGGCTACCTCACCTCCCACACTGCATGTCTCCTTCATAAATCATCACGCGCATGCGTTCCCGTACACGTCACGCGGCCAATCAAAAGGTTTTTATTTTTTTTGCAACCGATTAAAATGATTTTGGGTTTAATTCGCAGTATTTTTGGCCCAATCAAATTCAAGTTTTAGTTTGGGTCTCATATTTTGAAATTCGAATTCATTTCCGACCATGGACGTCTGCGATGGGTGTCACTTCAATTATATGGAGCTGATTGCGAGTTTTTTGAAGAAAAAAAAAAAACGAAGAAACTATAGCATTTTTTCAATTGCATGGTGTTCTTCCAACCCCAGTAAAGTGTCCTAAGTGCAAGACTGAATGTAAATACCGCAAAGAACAACATATAAGAACATAAGAACATAAGAATGGAGGAAACTGCAGCAGGCCTATTGGCCCATACTGGGCAGTCCCATTAACACCCAACCCCTATTGCTCATATAAGCATCCAACCTATGTTTGAAGCTATTCAGCGTTGTCATAACTCGTCGCAACCAGGCCAATAAGGTAAGAAATAGGCGATTCCATCATATGGTGAGAGTCGGTTAGGTTAGGTTTTTGTTTTTCTAGTGATTTTTGGTGTATTGTTTATTTGCTTAACCATTATTTTTTTTCGGAAAACGTCCCACGAAAAAACTTTGATAAAAAAAAACGGCTAATTTCCGCCAGAAATGAAGGTCATATTCGGTCTAAACACACACACAAATACACTAGAAAAATATAATTTTGACTTTCTAACAGAGTTGTGGTGTGCAAGAGCAAATTTACCAAACACGGTGTTGTCATAGATTTCTCCCCTACAAACGCTGTTTGTCGCTGAGTAGCCGACCCCACCAATTCCCCAGTGTATGCCTCGTGGTCTAGGTCAACCAGCGCCGCCATACATCACGGAGCGGGGGTCAACTGCTAAGTCACGCCTACCCCCCACTATTTAAGACCTGACCTCGTGGTGACCTATCTCTCTCTACCTACACCAACCAGCCAGCAACACCTCCTCCGCCTGCCTGGCGGTCCTCTCTCCCGCCGGCGAGCATGGCGACCCACAAGCTGTCCTTCTCTGAGCATCCTCACCAACCAGCTCTCTCTACATCACGCTTGTAACCATGCTGCCTTCCCAGCACCAAGCTGCATTGTACATCCAATACAACATGTATATAGAGAGCACATTGTGAGTTTCCTTTCTCCATCCCATCCTGAGTGTGAACCAAACATCTCAAAAACCCCACAGTGTATTACCAAACAACGTTATTTGTCCAAAGTGTAATAATCAGTGTCACTGCGTCAAGAACAACACATTTGGCCTGATTCTTGAGATTAAGGTAAAATGTGGGGGCATGAACATAGGGGGGTCCTGGTTAGGTTAGGTTAGGTTAGGTTAAGTCAGGTCTGGTTAGGTTAGGTTATCCCTATTCTAAAAATACTTTGCAATAATGATAAGAACTTATGTGGAAAAATGAACAAAATCGAACAACTCCTTCTGGTGATTCTCAGATATCACCAAATGACTATCATGGGGAGACAATTAATTATTTCCAAATAAAGAAACAAAACCTGAAATACTTTATCTGGACTAACAAGTAAAGCTGTTATTATTATTTATACTTTAAAGTGTAAATAAGTTAATATAAACTACTTAACACTTATAAGTGGACAGCGGCAATAAACCTAAACAAAATACTCACCTCCTTTTTACAATTAACTAAAGTAAAACCGAATAAAAGGACCAACAGTAACAACAATACTCCTCGGGGGACACTCATGTTGCTTGTTTACACTCACACTATAGACGACATGACCCACACCACACTGGCTTTACTCCCACACTTCTCGATGCTTCTTTATTTTATCAAAGTTTAATATACGTTAAATGTCATTAAAGTACAATATTACTGTATTTTTCTTGTTCCAATTTTGTATTTGTATTTTAATATGACATAATTTTAAATAGTGTTTCAATATTAAATTCATTAAGTACATGTGAACCTCTCCTGCGTGGTCATGTGTTATAGAGTCTACAGTGTTCCCGGCCCTGCAGGCTGTCCACCGCTGATTGGCTGAAGCGATGATTGAACCGCTAGTTGGTGAAGAACCTGCCCGAACCCCTAGTGAACCCGTAACTAATTATGACACCAATCTGAACCTCTACTGAACCCCGAATCTCTTGTTACACCAACCTGAAACTACTGAACCCCGAATCTCTTGTCACACTTACCTGAACCTCTACTGAACCCCGAATCTCTTGTCACACTTACCTGAACCTCTACTGAACCCCGAATCTCTTGTCACACTTACCTGAACCTCTACTGAACCCCGAATCTCTTGTCACACCCTGAACCTCTACTGAACCCCGAATCTCTTGTCACACTTACCTGAACCTCTACTGAACCCCGAATCTCTTGTCACACCAACCTGAAACTACTGAACCCCGAATCTCTTGTCACACCAACCTGAAACTACTGAACCCAAATCTCTTGTCACACCAACCTGAACCTCTACTGAACCCCGAATCTCTTGTCACACCAACCTGAACCTCTACTGAACCCCGAATCTCTTGTCACACCAACCTGAACCTCTACTGAACCCCGAATCCCTTGTCATGAGTTGAGTTGTGAACTTAGAGTAATCTACCAGAGAGTGATGTGACGGCACTGAGGTGGAGTTTAATGACAGAGACGCACCCGATCGCCCAAGTGGATAACGAGCCAATCAGTGGTTACTTTACTTTTATCCTCTAAGCCATTGATCGGCTCGTTAGCCGCCCGGGCGATCGGTCACGTCTCTGTCACACACTGTTGGCAAGTACTGGGCATGCACCGGCTCCTGAATGTATCTAAACCCGCTTCAGTGTTGGTCAAGTCTTGTTTTGAAAGAGCTCACACTCAGTGCCGTCACAACACTCTCTGGTAGATTGTTCCAAGAGTTCACAACCCTCACTCCGAAAAAGTTTGCCCTCACAGTTTTCTGGACTTGCGGCTTCTTCAATCTTGAGCTGTGACCCCTTGTGGGGCGAGCGTCCGCCAGCTCCAGGTAAGGACACTCGACTGAGTAGTACCCCCTGAGATGCTTATACACCTCAATTAGGTCCCCCCTTGCCTGTCTGTAGTATAAGCTAGGCAAGTTCAGGCGCTCCAATCTCTCAGGGTAGCTGAGGTGCCGAAGTGCAGGCACCAGTCTGGTGGCCCTCCTTTGAACATTTTCAACCAACTGACAGTCCCACGCATATCTCGGGGACCAGATGGGGTGACAGTACTCCAGATGGGGAAGCACTTCAATCTTGAAGATCTTTACAAGGGATGGACCGTCTAGATATCTGAAGGACCTTCTTATAAGACCCAATAATTTATTTGCCTGGTTTACCTTCTTCTCGCAATGGCCCAAGAACTTCAGCTCATTGTCAACATACACACCTAGGTCCTTCTCGCATTCAGTCTCAACTAGTGCGGTTTCTTCATCCCGTTGGGACATATGATACGCCTCCTTACCGTTGGTACGCCCCAGGTGCATCCTCTTACACTTCGTGACATTGAATCTCAGCAGCCATTTTTTCGACCATTCCTGGAGGCCACAGAGGTCCTTCTGCAGCTCTTCACAGTCCGCTTGGTTCTTAATTTCCGGAAATAACTTAGCGTCATCGGCAAACATTTGTATGGAGGAGTGTACAACGTCAGGCATGTCATTTATGAAACAAACAAACAACAGCGGGCACAATACACTGCCCTGTGGTACCCACTTGTGACAGGTACAGATGATGATTTTGTGCCATTAATCATCACACACTGCTTGCGGTCGTGTAGAAAGTCTTCTATCCATGCTAGGACATTTCCCCGAATTCCGTACCCTTCCAGTTTGATTTTCAGCCTTTCATGGGGTCCACTGTCAAAAGCCTTGGCAAAATCTAGGTAACTATTGTCGATATTACCACCCCGTTCCAGAATATGGGTCGAAATATCCAATACCTTGAGCAATTGTGTTAAGCAGGAGCGCCCCGGCATGAAACCGTGTTGGCAATCCTTTACAAGGTTGTTTCGTATTAGATGTTCCATTGCGGCATCTGTGACAATACTCTCAAGTACTTTACATATTATGCTGGTCAGGCTCACAGGTCTATAGTTGTTCGTGGAGTGACTATCACCCTTCTTGAAGATAGGACTCACATAAGCCACTTTCCATTCACTGGGGACCTTTTGTTCATACAGGCATTTACAAAACAGGATCTTCAGGGGCTCTGCAAGCTCGTTGCATAACTCTCTTAGCACTCTAGGATGCACCATGTCGGGGCCGGGACTCTTATGGACCTTTAGCTTTGACAGTTTATTTCTATTACCCTCTTTGTCGAACCCTCTGTCCTCAAATGCAGGAAGGTTAATTGCATCCTCTTTTGAACACCGAGGAAAAGAAGCTGTTCAATGCCTTAGCTTTATCCTGGTCAGAATCTGCGTAACTACCATCTTCAAGCCTCAGGTCTGATACTCCTACTCGCGTTTTTAATTTTGATTTTGCATAGCTGTAAAACGCCTTTGGGTTTGACTTGACCTCGCTTGCAACCAGCCTCTGGAACTCCTTTTCAGCCCTTCTACACCGTATCTTTGCTTGGTTTCTGGCTCTTGCATACATCCTCCTGTCTTGCTCATCGTTTGACCCAACCCAAGTCTTGAATTTCTGTGTTTTCTTCTTAATTTTGTCGACCGCCACATGGTTCATGTGTAGGGATCCCCTCGTATTCCTAGAAGCACTGGGTTTGGTCTTGGGTATATATTTATCGATCAAATGGGTCATTTTACTAGTTATGATATTCAGCGTAGTGTCTGCGTTCTTGTACCTTAATGAGTCAGGCCAGTTGATACCACTCATCTCTTCCCTCATCCCATTGTAATTTCCCTTGTAATATTTGCACCTTGGCCTGTCCTTATCCTGAACTAGGTAACAGTTAAATCTGAATGACAACACCATATGGTGACTGGGGCCAACTGGGGCAAGGTGTTCCAGTTTGGCCACCATACCCTCCTCATTTGTTATGATGAGGTCAAGTGGCTTGGGTATTTGCTCCCCTCTGTAATGTGTCGGGTCTCTAACATGTTGGAACAGTAAATTTTCTCTCAGAGTTTCTACAAAAAGAGTAGTAGGGTTATTCAAGTCATTTGGGGCGGACTCGTTTCTCCAGTTGATGTCGTCATAGTTAAAGTCCCCCATGATAAGGAGGTTGCTAGGGTTGACCATTGCCGCGTTGTTTATTAAGGTTCTTAAATTCCTTTGATTTAGTTGGCCGCAGTTTGGGGATCTGTAGATACACCCAACGATAAGTAAGTCCCCTCCCTTTAATTTAATTTTACACCACTTGGACTCTTCAAAAACATCCTCTCCCTGTACCCTCGCCTGGCTGGCTCTAAGGTCTTGCCTAGCATAGATAACCACAACCCTCTTGCAAGTTTCTTGAGAAAGGTTCGTAAATGAGTCATATCCAGCAATACTGAACTCATTCCTCTGGGTCGATTCTCCTGTTCTTGTGCAACAGTTCTACAACTCCTACAATATCTGGTTGGTGTACTCTTAGTAGTGTTTCAAACTCCTCTCTCTTATCAAGGAACGTGTCAGTATTAGTGTACATGACATTCAAGCCAGAATTTGTTCTCGGTAACGTCTCTGCTCTTAGTAATAAACCCGCTCCACCCACATTCTCAGAAGCTGCAGCATTTGCTAAGTACACTGTATTTTGCAGGGTGTGGTTAGAAATGTCATTGTTTACACGGCGCTCGTTCCCTCCTGTCCGGTAGGCTGAGCTGGTGCCGCCTCCCGGGTGGGGGGTTGAGTGGGTGGAGGGTGCACTGCTGCCCCCTGGCCCTGTGTCGGCACACTTGTTTCCACTACCCTCCCCCTGAGTATAACCCATGTACACCTGTCCCCGTTCCTCCTCGACTCCTCCCTCTTCTGCTTCAAGTCCTGCAGGAGCTTCTTGTGCTGTTCCCTCTGCATTACCGTGCGGTCTGGGTGAATAAATACATCCCGAAATGCCTCGCTCCTTGCTAAGTTTTTTGCCTGCCGAATAACTTGCCATTTCTCCTCCTCACTCCTAGTGTGATCCTGAGGGGGCGAGGCTTAGCCCCCTGCTTTTGTCCCAGCCTCCTCACATCCTGAGGGGTTGCTGGAATCTTCAGAACCTCTGTACAAATATTTTGAAACAGCACCTTATCGTGTGTTTCCTTACTCACAGTTCCCTCCGCCTGGCTCTCTGGGACTCCAAAAACTATTACATTGTTCCTGCGCTGGAGCCGTTCCTGGTGTTCCTCCTCTCCCCTAACAGTAGGTCCGTTAATTTTCATTTCTTCGACACACTTTTTCAAGTCCCAATCTGCTGTAGAACCTGTACTGATTCTGCATTACTCTCCGCCCCCCCCCCCGTGGCCCTCCTAATACGTCAGCATAACTCCTCTTAGCAACCACCTCCATTCTATTAGCTACTTCCTCAGTCTTAGCAAGGATCTCTTTCCCAACTTGCTCCAGTTTGTCAACCAGCAGGGCTCCTGCTTCATCTATTTTCGTCCCTAGAGAACTCGTTCCCTTATGGATTGCAATCGCTTCATTCACCTTGACTATGCAGCCAGAGCAATACCAGCAACAGCCATCATGCTTTACGGCAGTTAGTAACTTCCTAAACGTTGCATTAGTCAGGCCTGTATCCTCCATATCCGACGTCTCCCTGCAGTAATCACATATCAAACTCATGGTTGTTGTTGTTGTGGGGGGGGGGGGCAGACTGTGTATAAATCTACACCTATGTCAAAAAAATAAAGAAAGAAAAAGTACTTAGCTACTCTCT